AACATTCTTAAATAATACCCACTTAGTCAGGGTTTAAAAGCTTCAGAAGAGCCATCTCTGACCCTGGGACTGTGTCACATTCCCTTTTATGCACAGCATCCCCGACTTCTCCTTCATAGACATATCACAATCATAAATAAATATTTGTGTAACAGTTTCTTCCACGGTGCATCACCCACTGCAGAGTAGCCTTGAGAGCAGGGCCAGTATGGCCAGTGTGGAAGTCCTGGCCCCAACCCAGTCCCTGGCATTTAGTAGTTGTTGTGTACAGGTCTGTTGAATGCTAAGGACCAAAGTAGTGAGGGTACATGGGTACATACTCAGAAGTGGAAATCACACATATGTTAAATAGAGAGTCCACATTATGAAGTCGAATTTTGTCCAGCTCAGGAATTACCCCTCACTGATACCCATAATACCAGAATACCTCCAACTAGATAGCAAGTCCAGCCTTTTCCCAGTTTTTAGCCCTTCGTTCTGCTTGTTTTTCAGAGCTATCTTGTACAGATTTACAGATTCTAGTTCTGACAATTCTTGTTCTTGGGCCTGTCTAAAGTATCTCCTGGATTCCTGAACTCTATCTTCTTATGGCCCTTAGCACCAAAAGCCCTTTCTATCTTTATATTTTCTTGGAAAACTTGTTTTCCATCTAGTTTCTTAGTTTCCCTGTGATCTATTCTGCTTTTAGAATATATTTTTTCTAGGCATTCTCCCCAGGTCCCATATATATCCAATATCAAATCATTTCTACATACGTACCAAAAAGGTACCTATAATCTTAGGAGCTATCCTGCATCCATGCACACTGTGGTGCGCTGTACCTTCAAAATGACCATCTGTTAGGCCAGAAAAAGCCAAAATAACCTTGTTAGTCTTCTTACCATTTAGCAATATCAAATTATGTTTTAAAAAATCTATTTTTTTTTCCATTTTTAGTAGAGATGGGGTCTTGCTCTTGCTCAGGCTGGTGTTAAACTTCAGTAATCCACCCACGTTGGCCTTCCAAAGTGCTCAGGTTATAGGCATGAGCCACCACACCTGACCTAAAAATCTATTTTTTATAAAAATTATTACACCTTGTTTGGTGCCCATAGCACAGAGGTTACAGCCGGCCACATGCACCCAGGGTGGTGGGTTCAAACCCAGCCCAGGCCAGCTGCACAACAATGACAACTACAACCAAGAAATAGCTGGGTGTTGTGGCGGGCACCTATAGTCCCAGCTACTTGGGAGGCTGAGGTGACAGAATTGCTTAAACCCAAGAGTTTGAGGTTGCTGTGAGCTATTGATGCCACAGCACTCTACTGAGAGCGACATAGTGAGACTCTGTCTCAAAAAAAATAAATTATTACACCTGTAATCCTTGCACTCTGGAAGGCTGAGGCGGGTGGATTGCCTAAGCTCAGGAGTTCAAGACCAGCCTAAGTAAGAGTGAGACTCCCATCTCTAAAAATTAGCTAGGCATTGGGGCAGGCACCTATAGGCCCAGCTACCAAGGAGGCTGAGTCAAGAGAATTGTTTTGAGCCCAAGAGTTGGAGGTTGCTGTGAGCTATGACACCATGGCACTCTACCGAGGGCAACAAAAGTAAGACTCTGTCTCAAAAAAAAAAAAAAAATTCTTCTCTACCATATGTAAATCCATAAAGAATATTGATGTCGGCTCGGCACCTATAGCTCAACCGGCTAAGGCGCCAGCCACGTACACCTAAGGTGGCGGGTTCGAATCCCCAGCCCGGACCCGCCAAACAACAATG